CACACACACACACACACACACACACACACACACACACACACACGGGAATGGATGTTCACCAAAATGTGAACAATAGTTCTTTCTGGGCAGTGATATTTTAGGCGACTTTCTTCTTTGTACTTCTTAGAATTGTTCAAAGGTTTTGTTTTTTTAATCACGAGCATAACTTTCATGATAAAGACGTGAAAAACGATATGCATGTTGGGAACGCATTGCACAAAGATTGCTTTTCTTTTCCTTTGGTAGGACAGTTATCAGAGACTAGTGAATTTCACCTCTCTCTCCTTTTCCTTCGTCTTTTTAAGAAACATGGAAGAAATGCCCATTCCTTTTAAAATCTTCAGTTATTTCACATTCCAAAAATATTCCTCTGAGATCCTGATAGTCAATGAGTTCTATGGACTTAACTTCACTTGTGGTAAGTATTCTCTTTTGGACTATTAGTCTTACACATTATATATTTACATAGTTCCTTAGGGAGATGTACTTCGTAAAGAAAAGCTTTCTTTTTACAATAAAGAGATTTAAAATCTCTTGGAAATGAAAAACCAACATTTTCTTCCACCTAGAGAGTAAAATAAACAGTTGTTCCAGTTAGTGACCTGTCAAAGGTCAATAGCGTAAGCAACTTTGATGTTATTGAAAACGGCAGGCCTGATCTGCACTGAGGTAAGTGCTGGTGTATTCTGGATCGAGTAAGTTCTAAAGCCACCGAACAGGGCGAAGCAAGTGGAAGTGGCTTCTTGTTCCACAGAAATGCACATGGTAGATGGCTGAGTCTAGCCATTTCTGGCAAGAGGCTGTTCCCAAGTCCCTAATGAAGGCAGTGGGGAGAGTAACAAGGTCATCATGACCTTTGGAAGCACCAAAGCTACTCTGATGAACACATCTAACAGGTGGAAGTTAATTGTTTTAAATATTCTCAGGTATCAGTATGTATATGGTGGTCTATGTGGAATGAGGGAGTCCTAGTGGCCCAATAGTTAAGAGCTGGTGGCTAGGCAAAGGGTTCAAACCCATCAGTGGGCTCCTTTGGGGATGGGCTCCCATAAAGATTACAGCGCAGAAAACCCCGTGGGACAGTTCTACTCTGGGATACGGGGTCACAACGAATCACAGTTGACTCGAGGACACAAAGGCAACAACCGAGAAACCATGCCAAACCTGCTTACCTGTTTCTGTTGAGTCAGTTCTGACTCTTGGAGCCCCGGTGACACAGTGGCTGTGAGCCACAAGGTCAGCAGTTCGAAATCACCAGCAGCTTTGAAGGAGAAAGATGGGTCTTTGTACACCTGTAAAAAGTTACTCTCGGAAACCCACAAGGGCCGTTCTACCCTGTGCTACACGGTCGCTCTGAGTCAGAATCCCTGAAAGCAGTGGATCTGGAGTTTGGTGAGGACAGTATAGAACTTCCCAATCGGGTCTCAAGGCTGCGATCTTCTCAGAAAGTGACTGTCACATCTTGCTCCCTCGGAGTAGCTGGTGGATTTAAACCGATGAGCACTTAACCATTGCATCACCAGGGCTCCAGACAGCATGGGCAAGAGAAACAAACCCATTCACGTCTCCAGTGAAGCCAATTCACTGTTGCCTCGTTACGTACGAATTCTGGGTTCTTGGGGATGCTGCGTGTCTTCAATAAGGAAAGGATGTTTAGCAGAGTGCTCAGCCCTTGGTGGGCATATGGTAAGGTCTGCTGATTAAATGACTGCGCATGTGGCCGATCCCATGTTGTTCATCTTTTCCCTGGCAGGCAGCCCTAATAGTTCTGTGACAGCCAATCCGATGTGCACCTTCACTCAAGGAATTCAGTTCATTGAGAGAACCTGCCCGGGCGCAACATCCAGATTCACGGAAAACTTCCTGATTTTGTATGCATTTGTCCCCGTTCTTGTCATCCTCGGAATAGTTGTTTTTAAGATAAGGGACCACTACATTAGCAGATAGCATGAACCATCGCTGCAAAAATGGAACATCCGCGCCTGGATCTGCCTGCCTCTGGGAATGTCAGGAAAAGTAATGCCGCGGGTCCCTCTCCCGAGGCTGGAGTGCGAGTCTTTGAACCCTGACAACTCCGCGCCCACAGACCCGTGCCAGCGTGGGGGGTGATGGGAGTGGCTCCCAGGGCCTGGTGATCCCAAGGCGTGGGGCCTTGTGCCATATGGAAGCCGGGATAGAGTCGGTCCAACCATGTAACTACCAATAATTCACAGACGTATGAGGCCTGGTATCAACTATTGTTTTCCTTGTTCTAGGCTTAGAAAGTAGGTTATTAAAAAAAGTATGCATAGTATTCATTTCCAGAATTGGTAAACTGAAAGCGTTTGAGTGCTGACTCTGAAAACCAGAAAAGACAGGCGGGCTTGATTGAAGCAAAGAGGCATATGCAACCGGGCTGAAGTCTTCTGATAGTAAGAACCCCCTGTCTAGCATGTCAGTGACCTGATTCCAGTGTGGGTGCGGGGCAGCACCCACTGACTCCACTGAAGGCCAATTTCAGGACAGATTTCCTACACTGCAGACACACCTTGTTTTAATATTCATTTCTAGTGTCAGCGTAGGTTATTTACAAAAGCAAACGTCTCCAGAAAAAGTATAAACCCAAACAAACTAAGTCCACTGCCATTGAGCGCACCTTGACACACAGGGACCCTGGAAGACAGAGTAGAACTGTTCCCCAGGGCTGCCAGGATGGAATCTCTTCCCCGGAGCAGACAGCCTGGCCTTTCCCTGGAGCAGGGGGTGGGTTGAGCTGCCAGCCTTGAAGTTTTCCGTGGGAAGCTGAACCCACTGTGCCACTAGGGCGCCCAGACAAAGAATCATCACCACCCACTGCCATCCAGTCGAGGCTGACTCGTGTGATTGTTGTGTGGTTGTTGTTCGATGCAGGTCAGTCCCAAGCCATAGCACCCCTATGCACGCAGAACCAAACACCGTCGGCCCACCCGTCCTCCCAATTGTTCCTATGCTTGAGCCCATTGTCGTAGCCACTGTGACAACCCGTGTGGAGGGTCTTCCTCTGTTTCATCGCCCCTCTACTTTACCAAGCATGATGTCCTTCTGCAGGGACCGACATGTCTAAACTACGGGAGACAAAATCTCGCTATCCTGTCCTCTAAAGAGCACCCTGACTCGCAGCTGAAGGGGTCCATCTCTGTGGGAGCAGGCAGCCGCATCCTTCCTCCAACAAGTTGAATTGCACACCTTGCAATTCAGCAGCCCAGCCCCCAGCCCAGAGCACCGCCAGCGCTCCCCTGACAAAGTGTGTGCGCTGAGAAATGGCGGCTAGAACGCGTGGTTTCAAGTCCATCTAGAGATGCTCAGCTGACACTGCACTTGGACTATGAAGCACAGGGTTACCCAGCAGGAATTCACATTCTTAAACGGAGAGAGAAAGGGCGATGATAAATGCAGGCGCCTATCTTACCTCTTTTCAGGGGTGAAATGATTTACACAGATGATTTAAAAATGGATTTTGAACCCAACGACTGAATCGTTTCTCTGATTGATCTTCAAGTAATGCATGCACAAGGCAGAAATGAAATTGAACTGTTTCAATGTTACCATAGTAACTTTGAGCAAGACTATCTTAGAAAGCACATGCACTTGTTCAGTTACTGTGACCTAACTTGTAAAGAATGATAAATTATAGCATCTGAGATGTCTTACAGTAGAGTGGGGAAAATCATTTCATTAAGGAAACCACAGTAAAATTCTGTCTCTTAGAACAGTATTTGAGGATCTGAAGACATTGGTAAATTACCAGAATAGTATTGTCAATTCTTATAAAAGGTCTTTGACACTGCTGATTATGGTATAATAGTTACATAATGCCTTACAGATTATATATGTCACATCAGTTATAGACAACCCTGGAGATGATAATCTATTGAAGTAGTTCAAAGAGAATCCCACAGGAGCCTCCTTTGAAATCATGGATTTCAACTGACTAAGATATGGGTGTACAACACAGGTGGAAACATTTTCGACTATTCATATGCAGATGAATTTCAGTCGAGCTCAGAAACCTTTGGGAAATTGACATCGCATGTGACTTTGAGCTATTAAATGTTAGCGATACCATCTTAGAAAAGCACAGCGGCTTTCCACATGTGACAGTCAGTATCTCAAGTCAAAAAACGGACAGTGATGTGCCAGGAGATCAAATTACATAGTAAGAATTCCCCTTAACGGCTGTGGCATGGGCTGTTCCCTCCCACTGAGCCAGTGGTGTAGCAGGGAGCTCGAGGTGCAAGGTGGGTGGGCGACTTGGGAGGGAGCGCTTTCTCACGGCGCTCTGGCAGATGCCTGTCCCAAGCTGCAAGCCTTGCTCTCAGGTGTGTGGTACCGCAGCCACAGTGAACCCTTGGTGAAGGCTCCTTGCATCGCAGCCATCAGAAGCCCTGGGTGTTCTCGGGGTCAGGAACCTTGCCTGTGTGCGGCTGGCTGTGTGAACTGATCAAAGTCCCCATGAGAACTGGATCTTCTGATGCTGCCTAGTGCTCTCTGTGCGGGGACACCACACTGGGGTTTCTGTTCAGGCTCCTCAAAGGAGGACAAGTCATCTCTGCACTGCATGTCGCCTTTATAGGTAATCACTATAACTGTGCCTCGGTGTGCGCTAGTCTCCTAGTGCTGCTGCCTCAGAAAGGCCACAAATGGGTGGCTTCAGAGAACAGAGTTGTGTTCTCCCAGCCTTCCTCAACTCCTTGGCCATCATTAGGTGCTAACGAGCTTCCTCTGTTAGGGCTACTTTGTCTCTGGGTCTCTGCTGCCCCTTACAACTTAGAAGTAGTTAGATTTAGGACAGTCCTACACGATGGGGTCTCACTAGCATTTCAAAGAACAGCCAATTTTCCAGGGGGATTGCCACCACAGGTTAGGTAGGATTCCTTTGCAGATTCTGAGGGGATGCAACTCAATCATTCACTCTCAGAAAGCAAGCGAAGCTCTTTAGTTGACAGGCATTTGTATGATGTTCCTAAGGGTTCACCTGTGTCACTCCGATCAGTCACTAGTTAGCAGCAGGCACTCAGCTACAGCTCATCTCCTGGGAGCGGGTGGGCGCCGGTCCTGCTGCCGTCCCTGGGAGACAGCTTTGCCTATGGCTCTCTGCTCTCTAGGCCATCCGGCTGGTAATCACTGTGGCTCTCTTGTTTAGTCTCAGCCACTTGGTTGGGTGGCCTGAGGATGCCCGATACTTGGCTATCATCCGTTGGCCTCAAGACACTTTATGCTCACTTGGGCTTTTGGTTCACCTTGAAAGTAACTGGTGTGGGCATAGTAATGCTTACCTAGGCATGCAGAACCAGGAGGAGGGGCCTAAAAGTGCTGCTTTCCTCTCGATTACTCTGTCCACAGCCCCGAACCCGCTGCTGTGAAGTCGCTTCCAACTCACAGTGTCCCTGTAGGCCAGAGCACAACTGCCCCGAGAGGGCTCCCGCCAGTATGGAAGCTCACCTTGCTGAAACAAACAAACAAACCCAAAACATTTATTTATTTTTAATTTAGAAATTAGTTTTATGTTCATATTTTACACTGTCTGCTAACACATTTAAGGATGAAGACTATTTCTGTTATTAACCAACATATTTCTGATGAAGAATATAGTTGTCAAAGATGAATCATAATCCTCTTATGACAGCGCATTTCATATTAATAGGAGCATTTTACATATACTTACAAAATAGCCCTGTTAGGATACATGCCATTATAACTCAGCTTCACAAACACATAACCCTGTCCAGCATCTTGACTATCACTGAGCAGTGAGATGGTGGTCTAGAGCACAGTAGAGGTGTTCTCATGAGATTACAGGACTTCTTTCTGTACGACATTAACAACACACTATCAGGAATTCCCAGGCATCTATTAAGACCATCACCCACAAGAACTGGCAAGAATAAACCGTTGTATATTTTTCATTTTGGTCAAATTTAAAACCAGCACTCTAACATATCTTACATGTAAAATGGAAGTGCACAGAGCAAATGACATCCCTTGAAGTTTGAGCCTGCTTCTTGACAGAAAGTCTCCTGTCCTGCCGACCATGGTACTTCGCTAGGTCAGAATCATCAGGTGTGCTGACGAAAGAGGCAGAGCACGGAGCCCTATTCCAGACCCTCGGATTCAGAATCTCTCCGTGTGGAGACCCAGGAATGTATATTTTACATAAGGATTCCAGGTGCTCTGTGTACTTCAGTGTGAGAATAATATCAATCATGACACCTGTGAAAGTGAGCCCAGCTCAGGTGTACCTACAGCCACAGGTGCACACGTAACTCTACATACAAAACAATTAGCAAATGCTCTTGTTTTCACATGCTTATTCGGATCAGCAGAAGCTTGGACACGTCGAGCCGAGTGCTCGTCATTTAAAGCACATTAGAGGTAGTGTGAAGATGCTCTTTTTTAATCCTGTTGTTACACAATTACTGCCTTTTCTAGACATTCTGAATTAGCCGGAGTGTTGCACTAGTACAGGAAGTTCAGCCTTTCTGTGAACAGTCTGCTCATCGTAACTTTCTCTACACATTACCCTAACAGCTAACCATACAGCAATCTTCCTTGTACTGGGGAGAGAGGAAATAAACACACAAGTTTGGTTCAAGAATCAAACTCAATTTGTTTCCAGGACTTGGAAGAACTTCTTTTGTACTGTTCAAGCTCCTAAGAGAAAAAAAAAGTTTTAAAGAAAAATATTAAAAAAAACTTTACAAATGAACGCAGGCACTCTAAGCCTACCTTAATTAATATCCTTAGAGCTAACAATGCACAAAATTTCATGACAATTGTTTTGTAAATGATTATATTTAGGGAGTAATTTTCTAGAAAGGCAGTCCTCAGAGTTTCAAAGTGAGCTAGCTTGGCAGCGTTTAAAGATACATTTATATTAACCAACGTCCCCCAAAGTCCAAGCCTAATCCCACTGAGTCAGCTCCAACTCATAGCCCTAGAGGACAGAGTAGAACTGCCCCTAGGTTTCCAAGACTGTAACTCTTTTTTTAAAAAACTTTATTAAATAGATTTTTCAAAATGTAAACCTATTGTTTTCCAACATATCCTTCATGTAGTTCTAGGAGTGATATTCTTACTCTCACTGCCATCGAGTCGCTGCGGACTCTTTTAGACCCTATCGGACAGGGTTGAACTGCCCCTGTGGGTTTCCAAGACTATAACTCTTTATTTTAACTTTATTAAATAGATTTTTCAAAATGTAAACCTATTGTTTTCCAACATATCCTTCATGTAGTTCTAGGAGTGATATTCTTACTCTCACTGCCTTCGGGTCGATGCTGACTCTTTTAGACCCTATCGGACAGGGTTGAACTGCCCCTGTGGGTTTCCAAGACTGTAACTCTTTTTAAAAAAAATCATTTTATTGGGGGCTCGTATAATTCTTATCACAATCCATACAAAACATCCATGGTGTCAAGCACATTTGTACATTTGTTACCATCATCATTCTCAAAACATTTGCTTTCTACTTGAGCCCTTTATATCAGCTCCTCATTTCCTCCCCTCCCTCCCCCCTCCCGACCATAACTCTTTATAGGAGTAGAAAACCTCACCTTTCTCCTGAGGAGCAGTTAGTGGTTTCGAACTGCAGCCTAAAGCATTTTGAATCACTGATCTTGGCTTTCAGCTCAAGACAAGCAAATAGTCCGACAGCAGCACCTTACCTGACAGCGCCACATGGTACATACGGATTGTCTTCCAGCTAATAAACTAGAGTACAACTCACTTCATATTTAGTTAGTAAATTATCAATATCTAAAATGTATATGCCCTATGAAACACTGATCCTAATTTTGACGTTTATCAGACAGAAATAACAGAGAAGTGCACCGGCTATAGATAGGAGGATATTTATGGGAACACTGTGACTAAGGGTGCTCAGCTGAAAATGACCCGGAGCCTTCATCCACTCGGGGTTTCCCAGGCAGCCAACAAAAAGAATGGTGGTTCTCTGCCCAAGGAACAAAGCGCCCTGCTGGCGAGCGGTCAGGGCATTTCATTTTCTATTTTGCATACATCCACATGAAAACACTGTTCACAAGCCATGCATTTTATATTTACATTCACCAACTAGAGGTAAGTCTTAGAGGGGATGGAAATTCTAAAGGAGACAATTAATATGCAAAAAGGGTAATGGAAGGGGACTGCCTCATGGCCTCCTACATGTTTTCAAAGTCTACAGAGCTGTACAAGGTATATTATTAGTTCAGATAAGAAAAGAAAGTCTGCAAGATAAGACTGTCCTTTTGCTAACATAATTAAAGTTCATCATGGTTATGTAAAGAAAATTCCATTCTCACTTTTGGAAAAACACCAGATGGTCTCTTTCACATGTGAAGTCTGAGTTATTAAGATTTTAATGCTCCAGTTTGGAAATGGACACAAAATTGGGGAGAACGGCTGGTGGTCACTCCAGAGCAGACTTTGTAGCTCGGTTTAGTTTGTTTCATCAAGTTACTGTGGGTCACGTCTTCACTTTCAGTTTCAGGGCTTGTTAAGTCATAAAGAGTCAACAGCGATCAGTAGCTGTGAACGCTGCCTTTAACGGGAAGTGTGGAATTCTTACTAATGATCAGGGCGAGGGCCTTCTTTTGAGATTTTCTGCTAATGGCATCTCCCTTTGGAAGGCTGCAAACTGGGAGAACAGGGCTGGACACACAGGCCGTGCTGGCTGGGGAATGATGAAACCAGGCTAGAGGCATGCTGTCTTTGTTTGGGAAGGTTCAATGAAATCTATTAGCCGGTCCGGTGGACCGTAGCACTCTGTGATCTGGGTTCAGTTTCCAGCAAATGCACCTTGAGGGCAGATGCTGCTCATTTGTCAGGGGACACCTGAGTGTTGCTATGATGCTAAACCGGTTTTAGAGAGGCTTTCGGACCAAGAGAGACCAGGAAGAACGGCCTGGCTGTTTGCTCCTGAAAACCAGCCAGGGAAAACCCTAGGGAGCCCCTTGGTCTGTTCTCACAGTGATGGGGGTGCACCCAACAGCAGCCGTTGTGCGGTCCGTGAGACAGTGACCGGCTTGCGTCAGGGACGGCGTGGATCCTCCGGGCTTGCCTTCGGGGTGCACTCAAACGCCCCAGGGGCTGCAGTCAGCTCCGGAAGCTGGCTTTTGAATGTGAACACTCACGATGCTCAGAAATACTTCAGCCCTTTAAAGCCCACTAGTGCCTGTGACACTCATACAAGTGATCACTGTGCAATACAAACAGATCCTCCATCAACAATGTCAGTTGATTAGTGACTCTTAGATAAATGTTAATTTAAGGATGACTTCCAAGTAATCTTTACAGCCAACCTGCACACAGAAGAAGGGTTCCGGGAGGTCATTTTACTCTCTCTACAATGTGAGTCAGTTGGCTGCAGTGACACATCCCCCCAGTTATTTACGGGTTATCGTTCCCAAGCCTTCTGTAGCCAGGGCAAGGTTTTGGCTTCTGATGTGTTTAAATGTTTTGCTAAGTCTTTTGTATGAGCTTTTACTTCGTTGGTAATGGGCCACTGAAGGCCAAAGGGTGAGGCTGAGAAAATGAGTCATCTTCAGTCACTTCACAGCCACGTGACTGCTTATGCTACCCAGCTTAACACATTCCCACTGAGGGCTGCCGTGCCTTCCGACTGACACCCCTTAGAGACAGGGGTCCTCAAACTTTTTAAGCAGGGGGCCAGTTCACTGTCCCTCAAACCCGTTGGAGGGCCAGACTATAGTTAAAAAAACAAACAATGAACAAATTCCTATGCACACTTCACATATCTTATTTTGAAGTGAAACACAAAACGGGGCAAAAACACCCGGCAGGCTGGATAAATGTCCTCGGTGGGCCGCATGTGGCCCGCGGGCCGTAGTTTGAGGGCCCCTGCTAATCCCAGGCCAGTTGGCTTCAGGTCAGTTCGGAGGCCGCGTGCACTCCATTGGGCATGCACAGCTGTGCCTTTAGGAAGCAGGTCTCCTGAGGTGCTGCTGGGAGTTCCAACTTTTTGGTCAGCAGTCAGACTTCACTGTTTAGACCACCTTTCCATTAATAGCACTTGTTCTGTATAGTCATACTTAAATAAAGTCAGGTTCTAGAGAACACGTGACTGTATCAAGCTCAGAGGAGAGCTGATAAAACTTCAGTCTCTGGACCATGAGGAAGTTACCAACGTTTGCATGCTGACCCTAGACTTGTGTCTCACCCATGGGGCTACGGCAAAGGTTCCATCTTCAGCCACTTTCCTCAAGGACCCAGGGTTTTATCAGGTATGCTTGTATGCTAATTGGACAAGATCGTTTTTCTGATACCAGAGCATATAGGTATATCTCAATGTCCCGTGGTGAGCAAAATCTTTTGGATAATCCTGCAAACAAAAGGGTAATGATGAACGTGTTTCTTCAGCATCAAAGTAAGGATCGCTACCCAGTTTGAACAAAGCAAGGGAGGGAGGGCAGACAGTGTGTGGGCATACAAAGCATCCCCAGGGATGGGGTGGGGTGGGGGTGGGGGTTATATTTTTCTTTATGCACACCAGGATTTTTTTCTTAGTGACAATGCACTGTTTTCAATCATTAAAAAAAAATTAGCACTCCTCCCGCAAAACCCCGAAGAAATTAAATTCAGAAAGCTCTGTGAAATTCCATTGCTGCTTTTGTGATAAAACTCAAAGATGAAGTAAAATAAATGTTTAGGATAATACCTGATCCTTCTGAATTCTCATCTCATCAACTTCACTTTCAGCATACTGAGGGTCGCGGGCGGGGTCCTTGATATCTTTTAGCGTGTTGACATTCTGAAATTACAAACATCCATATAATTCCACGCCCAGGCCCCAAACTTTCACTTTCTACCATCTAGCTAACTGGGTGCCTGTTCTTTGGCATCGTATTGAAGGCTCTCTGCAATCTTTTGTGCTTTTAGCAACACCTATCAGCATTGAGGCCCATTTCAAATTACACCAGGTCCTCTCGCTTGGCCTTGCTTTCAGATATGGTCTCTCCTTTCTCTAACGGCCAAAGAATTCTGTTTCAAAGTGGAACCCCAACTGGGTCACACTCCTCTTTTTTAACTCCCACGTCGCCGTGCACACAATTGATCCAACGGGATGCTAGATTAGTTAGTTTTTAACACAAGATATAAAAACTTATCAAAATAGGCCCTTTGAACGCTTCACAATAAATGTTGAATAGTGCTAAAAATTCTTACTTCAAAAAGAATTACAAATCTGTACCTTTGGCGGAAAGAAGTTTTCATACACTTTTTTCCATAGGTCCATTGGTGAACTGGCATGAAGTTTTCCAATATCATTGTCAGGAACAGGTGGAGCTCCTAAAATGGTAAGTTTTATCCCAAATGAGTGCATGGATCGAAACCTTACCCACAGGACCAATAGAACAGATCGCAATTCTCACAGTACAAATCTTAGATCACTCCTTTTCCTTTTTCCTACGACAGAGATTTTGAGTACGGTGCTGGCAAAGAACCGTCAAAGTACCGTGGGCCGCCCGAAGAACAAACAAGTCGGTCTTGGGGGAAGTGCTACCAGAACCTCCCTTAGAAGCGAGGATGGTGAGACTTCATCTCCTGGGCTTCGAACAAGGTATTGGGAGAGGCCGGTCCCTGGAGAAGGACATCATGCTAGGCAAGGCGGAGGAAGGCCTTCAGGGAGAGGGAGTGACACAGTGGCTGCAACTGTGGGCTCAAGCCGAAGAGTTTAGAGGGTGGCGCCGGACCGGGCAGTGTTTCGGTCTGTTAGGCGCCAACTCGACGGTACCTAGCAACAATCCAGTCTCCATGAAAACCGACTTCAGCACGGGACGGCCAGCCTGCTGGGGCAGATTCTAGTTTGTGAGGAAGGGAACTCAGGTTTGTAGTTCTCATTCCCCACACTTAAGACTGCTGCCCAGCAAAAATGCAAGAGTCGGATGTCCTCGCGTGCTGCTGGAGATGTAGAATACCAGGTCCTTGCGGAAGCAGTGCCCCCGGATGAGAGGGTAGCAGACGCTTTCAAGGGTGGGCCCGACTGTCAGTGACAACACTCGCGCAAGCAGAGGCTGTTCGGCAGCACTTCTTCCTGCGGTCTACCCTTGTGGGTGCTGGGCATGCCCTGGACGCGCCTGCGCATAAGAACTGGCGATGTCCAATGCAGCAACATCTCTATCAGTGGAAAATGGGCCAGGAGCAAAGTGTTCATCACCAGGGCAACAGTGAGTGCCGTGCCAGGAAGTACTACGGCAGGACCACACCCGGATCCCGCCCAGCAGTCACAATGACAAATAAATGGTTATTTAGCACTAATCTGGGGAAATGAATGAGGCCCCCCCCCCTCCGCTTTTTTTTTCAGGGGGAGGCAAATTTCAAAACTTTAAGTGCAGAATGACTCTATTATAGTAAAACCAATGTTTTTTTTTTCTTTCTTTCTATGTATACACGTGTATACAGAAACTGGTCTGGAAAGATACAGCCCAAACTCGATCTTTCCACGTAGTATGCGACTTTCTGTAAAAATGACATCGTGATATGATGCCTGTAGAATTTAAACTAATTCAATTTTTTAAATTGTCATCACTTTCTGGTAGGTTTTAACCCATCACCTAAGATTTTCCATTCTCTCTCCTCGCTGCTGGTTTCCAGGGCTGCCCCTGCACGTCTGTGAGGGGGGCATAGATGGAATCCGCCAATTTTATTTAGGTTTCTTGTTTTATTTGTGTGTGTGTTTTAGGTTCTATACAATGCTGAACCCTAGGATGGAGGTTCACAAAGCCACCATCTTAGCCAAGACAAAGGGCATTACCACCTCCTGTTCCCACTCCCTAACCTCAACCTGGTTCCTAACCCTTCAACGCTCTCCCCTTCAACCTCAGGCCTCCCCCCCAAAAAAAAACCCCCAGTCGATGCTGACTCCTAGTGACCCTGTAGGACAGGGTAGAACAGCCCCTGGGGGTTTCTGAAACGGTCACTCCTTACGGGGAGAGAAAGCCTCGTCTATTTCCCTCGCAGCGCTGGTGATTTTGAACTGTGAACCTTGTGGTTGCTACTAACCAACATGTAGCCCCCTATGCTCCCGGGGACCCTGGTTTCTATGTACAACATGGTAATTAAAATATAATGTCACGAGGGCTCCCTTTCTATCCTCTGGCCATGAGGAATCTGTTCTCCGTTTCTAAAACTTTGTCATTAAAGAAATCATGAAACTAGAATGTTACAGTCTGTAACCTTTGGTAACCGGCACCGTCCAGTCGGCATACTTTCTATCGACTCGTCTAAGTCGCTGTCTGTCAAGGTTGATTCCTTTTGATAGCCAAGTGGTACTTCGTCGTCGGGGATGCTGCGGAAGGCCGTGCGAGCTGACTCCCGCTGTGAGCTCTGACCAAGAAAGCTGCTGTGAACCTTGGTGTTCAGATTTTTAAATGACCAGGCTTTCAGGTCTCTGGGATAAATGCCCGAGCGTGGAGTTTCTGAATCACGATAGTGGCATGTTTCATTATAGAGGAGACTGGCTGGCTTTTCCAGTTTGGTGGCATCACCTTACATTTCCACAGCCCAAGAAGCTAAAAGAGAGGTACCTAGAAACCAGCGAGGGGCAGGGGATGCAAACGGGTTTTTTTTAGGGAACCAGAGACCAGAAACCCGTCTCTCGGGTGGTGACATCCCTTCCGTTACCAACGTGTCAATGTGCTGCACGTTGCCCCACCACTGTGTGTGCAAATAAATACGCACAAAGAAACAGCAACCGGAGCGAAACCAGACATGGTGGAGACCCAGTGCCCACGGGTGAGGAAAAAAATCAATAAGCAATTTAAAAGAAGATTGAACACGCTTAATAAGTTCACCAACCTATTTGACTTAAAGAATCCAATCCTGCTGGGATAAACAGTGGCTTATTCTGATCCACACATATTGATTTGCTACATGGATAAGAAGAGAAAAGAATTTAGTTGGGTGATTGAATATTCTGCCGCACTCTACTGCAAACGCTAAAGTTTACCATCTACCACTGGCCAGAGCATGGCCCCCCAGTGAAGGAACGCATATCAATTTAAGTGATTTCAAAAAGCAAAGAGTAGCATATGTCTAAAGGGGGGGGAAAGAAGTAGAAGGAGAGTGACAGATCCAAATTGCTTTAGATCAAAACAGTGAGAAGCAGCACGGCAGAGAAAGATACATACTAACGGGATCAATTCCACTTCAATCAATATAAGAAAGTGGCAATGGAGGAAAAGCCCCGAAAGCCAGGAGGAGGAGAGGAAGAGAAACCAGGGAAGGAAGTGTAACACACTCCTCTAGTTGGTTCTCAGAGGATCTACTACGTGGCATTTCGGTTGTAAAATGTGATATGTTTTTTAAATCAGAAAAGAAGCAGGAGATGATAAGAACAGCCAGTCATATGAAACACAGCGGAGAGGGATCGTCAGCTGGGGCATCCGAGTGAGGAATAACGATGAAAAATTATTCAGAGTATTCTTTTTAACGTTACCTTTTGTCAATGCCAAATGCCAGCTGGTTGATGACGCCGCGTATTTTCAGTAATAAAGCCTCTGATTTACTGGTGAACTTTCAAAATAAAGAAAGGAAAATCAGTTGTGTGCTCTGCTTCACCATCATAGAAACAAGTAAAACAAATGACTTTAAACAAGTACAGACTGCAGAGATGATAGCTATTTTTTAAAATCATTCTATTGGGGGCTAGTACAACTCTTATCACAATCAATACATCCATCCCTTGTGTCATGCACATTTGTACACCTGTTGCCCTCATCATTCTCAAAAGAGATGATAACTATTTACTGGCCTAACAAATACTGTATTTCAATGGAAGGAAGGAAAAAAAAAAGATATAGCATTTGGGATCTTAAAGGCTTGAAGGTAAACAAGCAGCCATCTAGCTGAGAAGCAACAAAACCCACATGGAAGAAACACACCAGCCTGTGCGATCACGAGGTGTTGAAAGAATCAGGTATCAGGCATCATCAGAACGGAAAATCGTATCATTGTGAATGAGGGGGATTGCGGGGTGGAGACCCAAAGCCCATCTGTAGGCAATCAGACATCTGCTTACGGAAGGGTCTTGGGGAGGAGACGAGCCTTCAGGGTGCAACAATGAAACATACAACTTTCCTCTAGTTCTTAAATGTTTCCTGTCCCCCACTATCATGATCCCAATTCTACCTTGCAAATGCGGCTAGACCAGAGGATGTACACTGGTACAGATAGCAACTGGAAACACAGGCAATCCAGGACAGATGATCCCTTCAGGACCAGTGGTGAGAGTGGCGATACCAAGAGGGTGGAGGGAAGGTGGGTTGGAAAGGGGGAACTGATTACAAGGATCTACATATAACCTCTTCCCTGGGGGACAGACAACAGAAAGGTGGGTGAAGGGAGACATCGGACAATGTAAGATATGACAAAATAATAATAATTTATAAATTATCAAGGGTTCATGAGGGAAGGGAGAACAAAGGGAGGGGGAAAATGAGGAGCTGATACCAAGTGTTCAAGCAGAAAGCAAATGTTTTGAGAATGATGATGGAAACAAATGTATAAATGTGCTTGACACAATGGATGGATGTATCGATTGTGATAAGAGTTGTACAAGCCTCCAATAAAATGATTTTTTAAAGAAAATTTTATGTGTGGATGTGAAATAGGTATATTAATATACAGACACATCTCCGGTTATAGAAAAAGTCTCACAATGCAATCTGGTTGGTTAGAGAACAGGAGTAGCAGCACATAAGTAACTTTTACACCCAACGGTGTGTTACTGCCTTCAAAGCAGTCATCCTGGGGGTGGCAGACCTGGTCCAATAACTACGACACCCACTCAAATGAGTTTGATTTCTCTTTTGAATGCCATTTGAAAAAGTTCAAAGCAAACAAACAAACAAAACCATTCTGTGTCACAGTGGCCCGACAGAATTGTCTGGGGAGCCTATCAAAGAAGTGACTGAATATTGTCATTGGTGGCAACGCGGGTGACCACATTCAGATGAAAGTGTATTAGTAACAAGGAAGCGAGACATTCAGTCACCCTACCAATCTTTGAAGACTAGATCTGGGTTTCAGAGCTAGCCCAAGTCACTTGAGTCCAATCCGAAAATCAGAATGACCACGACAGCTGGAAGTGGGAGACATCAACTCTGAATGGAAACTAAATACGATTATGAAGCAGAAAGATGGATTTTCTGGTTCTGATGGCAATTTCACAAGCCAAACTTCCTTATGGATGAAGAACAGGCTCCCAGTGGAGGGGCTCGGGTATAGAAATGACTTCAGACATTGGGATGGAAGCACTGGACTGGAAGGCTGAAGACCAGAGCCCTGGGGGACATCTAGGTCAATTTGCAAAACTCAGTTCATAAGGATAGTAATGTTCTTTATCCCGGTCTGCTAAGTAGTGTCTGGGGTCTTGAAAGCTTGCAAGCTGCTATTGAAGAAGTAACTATTGGTCTGTCCCTGCCTAGAGTATAAGGGTGGAACAAAACCAAAAACTTAAGGGAGCAATTACTCTAGAGGGCTAAGGGCCCCCAATAAACCACAACCTTCTCTAACCTGAGACCAAAAGAACTAGGTGTTGCCCGGCTACCACTGCCAACCACTCTGACCAAGAACACCATAGAAGGATGCACTTAGAAAGTGTAAAAAAAAAAAAAAAGAAAGAAAGTAGAACAAAATTCAATCCCCCTTAAAAAGACCAGACTTTCTGGTCAGAAAAAACCGACAGGAAGCTCCAAACACTGTGCCCCGAGAACACCTTTGCCTCGAAGCGTGTGGCACTTGCTGAGGCTACCTTCTAGCAGAATAATCGATGGGTCTATAAAAGAATGTGCTTCTCAGCCCAAGACCAAGAGGGCAACAGGTGCCCTGAACCAGAGATGAGAAGACCAGAGGACTGGAAATAAGGGGAGTGCTGACACCTTGTGGCAATTGCAACCAATGTCAGCGGACAATTTGTATATGACCTACTGAATGAGAAAATTAACTTGCCGTGTAAACTTTCACATCAAGCGCAATCAAATGTTTAAAAAAACAACATTTTGGTAAAACATTGCAAAATTCAGTCTCATGTATTTGTTGTTAGGTGCCATCCGGTGGGTTCCGACTCACAGCGGCCCTCTGCACAACCGAATGAAACACCGCCTGGTCCTGCTCCAGCCTCTCCATTGTTGGCATGTTTGAGCCCATTGTGGCGGCCACTGTGTCCATTCAGCTCCACTTTCCCAAGCTGGATGTCCCTCTCTAGGGACTGGTCTCTCCTGACAATATGTCCAAAGTATGTGAGAGGAAGTTTCGTCATCTTTGCTTCCAAGGAACATTCGGGCTGTACTTCTTCCAAGACAGATTTTCTTCTTCATTTCGCAGTCCATGTGCTTCCAACATCCTTCGCCAGCACAACTGAATGCATTGATTGTTCTTTGGTCCTCCTATTTCAATGTCCAGCTTTCACTGCATATGAGGTGATTGAACGTATCACAGCTTGGGTCAGGGACTCCTTAGTCCTTAATATAATATCTTAATTTTGCAACACTTTAAAGAGGTCTTGTGCAGCAGAGTTAAACAATGCAATGCATCTTTTCATCTCTTGAATGCTGCTTCTATGAGCACTGATTGTGGATCCAAGCAAGGCAATATCCTTGACAACTTCAATTTTTTTCTCTGTTTATTTGGATATTATCTATTGGTCCGGTTGTGAGGATTTTTGTTTCATTTACATTGAGCTGTAATCCATACTGAAGGGTGCAATTCTTGCTTTTCATCAGCAAATGCTTCAAGTCCTCCTCACTTTCGGCAAGCAAGTTGTGTTATCTGCATTATTTCAGGTTGTTAATAAGCCTTCCTCTGATCCTGATACCACATTTGTCTTCATATAATGTAGCTTTTACGATCATTTGCTCAGCATACATACTGAACAGACATGTTAAGAAGAAACAACCTTGACGCATAGCTTTCCTGACTTTAAACCATGCAGGATTTCCTTGTTCTGTTCCCACAACTGCCTCTTGATCCATGTACAATAGATCCAAATGAGCACTATGAAGTGTTCTGGAATTCCCAGTCTTCTCTAGGCTAACCATAGTTTGTTATAAGCCACACAGTTGAATGCCTTTGTAGAGTCAATACAACACAAGCAAACATATTTCTGGTATTCTTTGCTTTCAGCCAAGGTACATCTAAAGTCAGCAATGATATCCCTTGTTCCATGGCCTCTTCTAAATCTGGCCTGAACCTTAGGCAACTCCCGGTCAGTGTACTGCTAGAACCATTGTTGAGTGATTTTAATTGCATGTGATATCAATGATATCACTATTATCTGAACATTCCATTGGGTCACCTTTCTTTGGAATGGGAGCAAACATGGATCTCTTCCAGTCAGGTAGCTGTCTTCCAAATTTCCAGGCAGGTAAGTAAGTGCTTCTAGTGCTTCATCAGCTTGTTGAAACATTTTAGTTGGTTTTCCATCCATTCCTGGAGTCTTGTTTTGACTAATGCTTTCAGGCATCTTGATAGCGCCCTCACCGTTGATTTTTGCTCCTACGCTGCTTCTTGAAATGGTTGATGCTCACTTGTTCCTTTTGGTACAGTGACTGTGTATTCTTTCTCATTCAATATTTTGCTCATAGAATCTTTCAATATTGCAACTTGAGGCTTGAGTTTTTTCTTCAGTTCTTTCAGGTTAAGATACGCTGAGCATGTTTTCTAATTTTGGTTTTCTAACTCTAGTCTTTGCACATTTCATTGTAATATTTTACGTTATCATCTTGAGCTGCCCTTTGAAATTTTGTGTTCAGCTCTTTGACTTCATCATTTCTTCCATTTGTCTAACCTTCTTTCCCATTTAGAGCAAGTTTCAGAGTCTCTTCTGACATCCACTTTGATGTTTTCTTTCTTTTTAGTAGCCTTTTGCTTTCTTCATGCCTGGTGTTCTTCATGACCTCCCCCAGCTCATCAGGTCTTGTCATTGTTTTCAATGAGTCCAATCTGTTCGTGAGATACTGTCAAAATTCAGGTGAATATACTCAGGTCCTATTTTGGCTCTCATGCACTTGTTTTTATTTTCTTCAACTCGAACGTCACATGTTCCACAGGTGTCTTTTTAATTGCCAATATTCAGCTTCTCCATCACCTCTTCCTCCAGATGTAGTCAATTTTATTTCTGTGCATTCCATTTGGAGAAGGTCATGTGTATGTGTTGTTGAAAAAGGTATTTGCTAAGAAGGAGTCATTGGTCTTGCGAAATTCTATCATGCAATCTCCAGTTTTGTTCCTTTTGCCAAGACTGTATTTTCCAACTACCATTCCTTCCTCTTTTGTTTCCAATTATTGAATTCTAGTTGCCAATAATTATCAGTGCATCTTGATTGCATGTTGGATCAATTTCAGACAGAACACATTGGTAGCCTTCATCAATTTCTTCCTCACTAGTTTAGTGGTGGCGTAATGGTTATGCATTGGGTTGCAATCCCCAGGGTTGGCAGTTCAAAACCACCAGAAGCTCCGTGGGAGAAAGGCTGGTCTTTCTTCTCCTATAAACAGTTAGTCTTGGAGACTCACAGAGGGTTGCTCTGAGTCAGCGGCAGCTTAATGAATAATAGCTGTATTGACTGGACTTCCTCATATGCAGATAGAGATTATCCTATCACAGCATTTTTCTTCAAGCTATATCTTGAAATGTCCTTTTTGACTATGAGTGGGACAACATTCTTTTTTATTGTGCCATTCCCGGCATAATAAAATGTAAACTTCGGATACGAACTGGCCAATACTGGAGTCCATTTCAGCACACTAAGGCCTAGAATATTTATCTTAATGTATTCCATTTTAGTTTTTGATAATTTCCAATTTTCCTAGATTCATAGTTTGCACTTTCCAAGCTCCTATCATGAATCGATGTTTGCAGCTATTCCTCCTCACTTTGAGTAGTGCCCCATGAGGCAAAGACAGCCCCGCGGGCTTTGCTCTCACCGCTCGATGCTGTCCGTGTCCTCGGGGTCGACTCGACTTTGAGAAGGCAGCTCTTCCTCGGTCATAGTCCGAGTGCCTGGCACGAGCGCTGACAGTGTTCTGCTTCTGTTCACTGGCTTTTCAGGAACTGACAGTACTTCAGTGCTATCAATGGAGTCTTCCGTGGCTAACCCCTCTGAAGTGGACAGCCCATTCTTTCTGTGTATCTGGTCTTAGTCTGCAAGCTCAGCTGAAACCTGCTCACTTCCAGGGACTCTGCTAGTATCTGAAATACCAGTGACATATCCTCCAACATCACAGCAACACACAACCCACCACAGTCTGACAAGCTGACAGACAAAACAAAAGCACTCAATTCTAGAAAAAACAAGAAATGGGCAATAAGTGTCAAAACCAAAACCCAACAAACAACAACAAAAGGGACAGGCTCCTGAGACGGAATGCAAAAGGGAGCACGCAAGTAAATACATCATAATACTGATAACACATTCAAAAATGAGGACGCAGTGAATTGATTTTAACCCTTCTACCACGATAGTATTTCCACAACAAAAAAGGAAAATTTAATAGAATTTTAAAATTGCAATGACGGTTTAATTCTATTATGAAAGAGGAACAAAACCATTGTAAATGGTTTTCAAAGAATCATAGTGCTGGGAGGACATTGGAAACTATCTAATCCAACCCCACCATCTGCTGCATCAACCCCCGCTCAGCCATCCTTCACAAAGAGCTGCAGGGCTTCTGCGTGAGTAACTCAAGGCCGAGAGCTCTTCTGAAATCACCTCATTCTGCTGTCAGGTAATGATAGTATTAAAAAGTTCTCTATTTTGAACTAAACTCACTCTATTGATTCCTCGTCCGTGACTCTAACAGAGCGGTGAATAAATTTAATCCCTGTTCCATGGGACAGACTTTCAAGTCTTAGAGCAGGATCACGTCTTAAATGGGGGAAATGTGGTTTTAATCTGGTTCTACGTATTGGTGTTGTTCTGTTTTTATTTTTGTTAATTTTATTAGCTTGCTCATTTATATTGAGTCTGTATTCTTCACTGAATTATATAGGATTAACAACAGGATTGAAAAAATCCTCCTCAATATCATGGACTCCTGTAGCGCAGACTCAATTTCTTCCCATGAATAAGGTAGGTGTAAGGTCAGAATGGAACTGAAATCGAAAGATGGGGCTTTGATAAGTTCTTGGCAAAGGCAAGAGAGAGCCGTTTCCGAACCCATTAGGTCCTTGAGCTTTTAGGGTTTTCTGGACCAGGCTTCCCTTCATCTACCTTTGGACCCCTAAGACCAGCCTGAGCTCTGAGTGATCCACGGTGATTTGTTTCTGCAAAGACACGGATGGCTCTCACTTCTCCAAGCTTATCGAGCACAGCTAGCTCAGCCATCAGTCAGACCTGTCGGCACTGGTTGATTCCAACTTGTGGCAAACCCACAGTTACAAGGAAGAGCTGATCCACAGGATGTTCTAAGTGGTGCCATATTTTATTTTTGCAAATAGCGTGCTCACAGGAATAATGTGCACAAACATGTAACAGGTGGAAATGATGAAATCATGTCAACCATTCTGGCACAGGGTGCCCATGTGCATACCAGGCATGTCGCCTGACACTTCCAGAAGTCAATTTTGAGCTCATTCACTTTCATTCAGTAGTCTGAATATGCTATTTTTGCCTATATTTGTGTAATAAAGGTTTAAGTCATGGATTGAGTTTGGCTGTACCCTGCAATCAGAAAATAAACAAATGAAACTGTGGATTTATTTTGGCAGCAGTTCATGGTGGGGCCTGAGTCTGGTGGGGTTTGTGGTAATCTGATTTATCCTTGCTCATGCTGTGCTAGAAACGGGCTTGGGGTGGGATGGGGTCTGCAGGCAGGGCTGCTATAAGGCAAACACGTGCAGCTGGCTGAAAGGACTATTTCCCAACCCTACTGGGCCCCGGGTATGGCCAGTGCAACCGTTCTCATCAAGGCCAAGGCTTAACAATAAATAGATTGGCATGAAAAATTGACATAAACAACTTGGGAAAAAATTGGTATAGGGCACTTGTGAAAATGATGCCTGGGAAATTCGGTCTGCAAAAATGCATAATGGATACATTACTTGTGTAACAATATGGTAATCTTTATGGAAACTGATCACCAGGCCTTTCTTCTGTACCGTAATGCTGCTGTTTGAGTTTGAACTATCAACCTTTAGGTTAGTACCTGACAAAATCCCACTGCCATTAAGTCGATTCTGACTCATAACAACCCTGGCTGTAGGTACATCTTGATAGGAGCACCCAGCCTCATCTGTGTCTGGCAGAGAGGCTGGTGGGTTTAAACTACCGACCTGGCAGTGGGCAGCCCAATGCTTATCCAACTGGGTCAGTTGTTGGTAGGTGCTGTCAAGTCGGTTCCGACGTAGAGGGACACTGCCCAGTCCTGTTCCATCCTCACCTGTTCTTATGTTTTGAGCCCATCACTGCAGCAGCCACTGTGTCATGTATAAACTGGTGGTGCTACCAGGAAATCTTATGGGCAATTTGACCAGATTTTAATGTGCCGCCTGCCTTATCTAGCGGCAGAAAGGTGGAACTGCGAGACCCAGGTCTCTGCTTCTTTATTCTGGATAAATCATTCGCTTCAAACCCCCTCCATCTTTTCAAAACAGTCAATATGAAGTTTCCACAGTGCTCTGTCACTCTAATAGTAAGTGGTCACAGTTCAAGCATTAAAGGTACTGGCTCTCATTATGACGAGAAACATTTGGAGTGTTTTGATAAGTATAAGAAATTTACAATCTAGAGTGTATTTCTTTTTTACAGCCATGAAGACATGTCAGGGTCCCTGTGAGTCCTTTGGTTTGTGAGAGAGAAAAAGAGACCGAGAAACAATTATGCAAGTGGGAAGAAATCTTTAAAAACAATAACAACAAAACCTTCTTATATTTTTTATCACATTAGATATACTGGGTAAACTTTAGTCCTGCGGTGGAAGAGAATAATAGTCACACAACTCTGTCCCGAGCCCTGGACTAGGCATCTCACATACATTATCCCTTCCGATTCTCACAATCACCCCACGAAGAAGGTGCTCTGGAGGTGACTGAGATAAAGTGACTTGCCCAAGATCACATCTCTAGAAACCTGGCTGCCCTGAGATTTCAACCCAGGTAGCATGGTTTTGATCTCTCTAAGAAACAGCATTTTCAGTTAAAACAGACTATCTGTGCTTCCTTTTTTCTTTTTAGGGAATATAAATTCTAATTCTTGAGGGGACGTTGTCATGAACTAGATAACCCATTTACCTTTTTCAGATGAATCGAGGTAGATGAATCTAAGCAAGTTACCAGGTTTGCTCCAACATAAGGGTTTGATGCGTAGGTGCAAAGTCAAGCACACCATGAAAATGGTCTTCGGGCAATAGGAAAGGAGAGAGGGTAACACACCCTACTGAATGCTTTGGTGCTGCGAGCAAGTGGCCCCTCTCTCCATGGTTAGTACTGCCCCCTCCTGTCGCAAGGGGAGAAAAGGCACCCACCATTAACGACGCTCCATAGGAATGCGCAACAAAGCGAAGGGTCTTGCATACGATCTTCCTCTTCTCAGAGTCAAAGTCCTAAGACAACGTGATGACGGTATTAAAAGGAAAACAGAAATCCAACCAACCGAGAGAACAAAATATCTATACAGCGACAGACGCGTGTTATTCAATGTAACAATTCTTAGTTTTTTAAATAGCCTCTGAGGAGCGGGATTCCATTCCCTTGACTCTCGTTTCCATGGCGAACTGATCGAGAGCATCAGCATTCGGCAGCTACAGCTAGCAGGTTTAAACTCTGTTTAAACACTTGGTGCAATAGAATTTAGATGCAAGCACACATTTTATTGTGCAGAATGCCCTACGGATTTTCTGATAGGCAAAGATAAGAGAAAACGGATTTTCTACTTTCTTCAATTTAAAAGTTGAGGAATAAAGTCTTATCCCTTTGTGGCTAGACACATTCCAAACCTTCTGCCCCTGGCCACTGCTTTTATGATTCTTAACTTTTTAAAAAAGCTTTCCTAATGATATGCTCTCGTCCTAAGCCTCTAAGATGTGTGACATCCTGGCCTATCCCTTCCAGAGTCCTGTTTACTGTTCCAGCGTTACTTTGATCCTTACAATAGCACCTAGACATGCATGTACAAGAATCTCAACTGCAAGTGACAGAGCTAAGGGCTTACCTGAAAAATATCGTATTTACTGCCAATTATAACCAGGGGTATTGGAAATGGGTCAATCAATTCACGATCCTGTTAACAAACATATTTCATGGAATTAGCTAGAACTGCTTACTTTCTATATACTCAGCAAGGTCTAGTCACTTCCTAAAATACATACTTTTCAGCCTCTACATAGACATTGACTTAGTTTTTGTGATTAAAACATTCCAATATTTAATTATCACTTTCTAAGACGCATTTCTGATGTTTAAAACCAGAAACAGCAATTCCTTCAACTAGTGTTTATATATACATATAATTTAATCTGCCCTTTTATTTTATTTACCATATGATATCTTCCTAGGTCTTTGGTTTATATTCCTATTCTGTATTGTTTATTGCAGTCGCATTTCTTCTGCTTGGACTTGAAGCCCAAAACTTTTTGATTTGCTCCAATATGACCAGTGTCAAACTCATCCACATCAACTCTGGGCAGTAAAAAATGCTGCTCTTAGCAGATTTCATGACTGCTGTGAAAGGACTTGTGATACCACCACTGTGACTTGATAATCTAATTATTTATCAGAGGAGCAAAAGATATTGAATATGTGACAGACACTGAATGAATGCAAAGTGCAGAGCGCTGGTGGAGGCTGGTGGAGGACTCGTGGTTTTAATTTCTAGCTTCTGCTCATTCTTCTTGCCAGGCAACTTGTGGACACGCTTAGCTTTTTATCTTCATTTTTCGGAGATTACAAAATCAATCTCAAACCACTACTCTGCCGTCTTTTGATGGGTGCAGTATGCCATAGCAATCACAGGGAATGTCTTTTTCCTTGTTTTGCTCTTATTGAAGTTTTATTAAATTGCTGTAATTTTCCAGTGATCAGGCTCATCTACATCCAGTGACTGTCCCGCCACGCATGGAAATCTGAAGCCACTGTCTGTGACGGCCTCAGTAACTAGGCACTGGGCCCCGAGGCTGGCACTGGGCCCCGCAGCCACTCACCGGATGGTCCTTCGGCAGGTTGCTCCACATCTTCTGTCTCATGTCAGAAGCTGCTTTGGAGTGTGTCTTTCCCAGTTTCATGATCACTTTGTCGATGTGGCTTTTTGTGACTTGCAATAGATTTTCCATGGTGGGCCAAAGGTCATTAGGCTTTGAAAGATCCAAAACAAGGACAATGGAAAATGTCCTGCAGAGACAGAAACGTATGTCAACAGCGTCTCCAAATCACTACCGTTTCCTTCCAGAACTAGCACGCGACACTTGTTCTCGTGGAATAACAACCTTATCAATGAAGAGAAAGCCCCAAAGTAAATAATAAAAAGGCCAAACTGACAGCTCTAGTTAGTCCCACCATTTTCTCTAGGGGTAGGAGACTGTCACAGCCGATAGTGACACTAAAGTTCTTGTTTGCACAAGTCAATCACAATCCCACTGGACTGTGGGAGCAGATGGGTCCAAGGATGCTGAGTTTAACTCCAGCTACACCATGTGCTCCAAAGAAGGGACGTGAAACCGACAGCAGCAGTGGCAGCAACAGCCCAGCTACCAGGTGACGGGGAGGAAATAGATTCATCAATGGGCCATGCTAGGGACCTAACTAACTTATTTAATTTTTACCACAACTCAACCAGAAGATGTCATTATGTCCATTTTATAGATTAGAAGCCTGAGACACAGATTGGCGGGATCAGCAAATGGTAGCGCTGGCACTGAGATGCAAAGCCATTGATCTTCCTCCTGCTCTGCACGGCCCTCTCTGAAAGCATGCCCCTTGCCCATGGACGTAGCCCCACCATCATCGAATGCATGAGTGCTCATCTTCCTGTACATCGACACAAGTCCAGGGGTATTCTAGACAATGGTCATAATAAGATTTACAGCCACGATCGTGGGCCAGTATACCCTTAGTTCACAGGACAAATATTCTGCTAGCAGATACAGCAAGGCATCATGATCTATATTATTTTGTTATTTTGCTGAGTTTAAGCAAAACAGTTGCTTTGTATAATTCATATAAAACAGTAACTAAATTCTCTATTGGGTTGTCTTTTAGGCACCAATGATAAAGATTTTCTATAAAATTATTACACCATTATCTAGTCAATTAAATCTGTGTCATTTTAATAAGCTCATAAACAGTTTTACTTCATTGAAAAAATATAGCATCACATGTTCAATAATAAGGGAATCACTGTTATTTCCCAGCTTTAACTATGGTTGGTAAAGATCACTGTCAAGAAACAGAGCCAAGGCCATGCCCAACAGAAACAGCATCGACTCCGCTCTCCATGGTTGTTGTTAGGTCCGGCTGAGTCAGTTCTGACTCACAGAGGCCCGACGTACAACAGATCGAAACACTGCCATGCTCACAATTGTTATGTTTGAGCCCATTGCTAGGGGTCCTGGGACAACCAGTTTTGTCCAAGGTCTTCTTCCTTTTCGCTGCCCCCCTCCTACTTTATAAACCATGATATCCTTTTCTAAGGCGCATTCAGGCTATACTTCTTCCAGCGAGGAGGACTTGAAGCACTTGCTGATGAACATCAAGGATGGTAGCCATCAGTATGGCTTACAATTCACTGTAAAGAATACTCAAATCCTCCCAACTGGACCAACAGACAACATCATGATAAATGAAGAAAAGGTTGAAGTTGTCAAGTTGTCTTGGTTGGGTCCACAATCAATGTTCCTGGAAGCAGCAGTCAAGAGATCAAATGATGCACATCCTCTTGTACAAGTCCTCAGTTAGAGTACTGAAAAGTAAGGATGTTACTCTGAGGACTAAGATGCTTCAGGGTATTTTCCATTGCCTCATATGCATGTGAAAGTTGGATAATGAATAAGGAAGACTAAGAAGAATCGATACATTTGTATGATGGTGTTGGTGAAGAATACTGACAGTGGCATGGACTGCCATATCTTTGGCAAATTTAAAATACCCTTTTCATTTGCCTTTTATGGTATCCCCTCCACCTACCACCTACCACCACACACATACATGCATATTGTTCCTCCCACCTGATTTGACATGCCCTCTATCAGAGGCACTGCTCTGGGATTAGAAACATAGCATCTGAAAAGCTACTGTCCAAACACACGTGCAGTACACCAGTGGAGTGACCATGACTTTCCCCCTTGGGTTCTGTCCTTCCTATCCCGCCACCACCTTAAGCACTTTGAAAGACAGGGAATGGATATTTTGAAACTGCTTTGCAAAGAGAGAAGGAAGAAAGGCCTGGCAGGACTCTACACTGGCTTGTCCATGATGACAAGACAGGAAAAAGGAGGCCGAGCAAGAGGCAGGTGCTAATTCAGGAAGAGTCAACTGCCGGAAGTGGAGAGGAGAGGCGCCTGAAACAAATCAAGTCCCCAGGATTTGAGCTGAGCCAACATAAACTGTGCCTTTAGCAAACACTTCCCTAGAACTGTTCCCACTGATGAACCCTTGTTTGAGAATTAAGTACAATTACTATGCCAATGCGGCTGAGCTTGGAGGGATGGTACGTTCAGTTCTAGACCAATGCAAGAAAGCACATATCGCCAAAAAGCAAGCACATGAAGCATCTGGTCTCCCAGTGCATAAGTTATGTTTACACTTTTCTGTAGGCTACGCATTATAGTTGCATCCTGGGAAAAATCAGAAATATTGTGAGAACCACCAGAATGTGACTCAGAAACATGAAGTGAGCACATGCTGCTAGAAAATGGAACTGATCTATTTGCTCAACGAAGGGTCGCCACAAACCTTCAATTTGTAAAACGCAAACAGGAAGATGCTCACATACTTCTGATTTTTCCCGTTGCGAAATTAGTAGGCTACAGAAGAGTGCAATCACAACTGAAATTCTACCCTTTTACAAAATTTCAAGTTTCACTGACATGTAATTCACATATCACACAATTCAATGATTTATGCGATCTTCACCACACTCCATTTTGGAAATTTGTTCTCTTTCTTGTATTCATAATTAGTTCCCCTAACCTCCTCTGCCATAACCCTAAGAAACAATCAACACGGTTACTGTTTCTAGATTTACCTATCCTTGATTTCACATAAAGAAAAACATACAAACAACGAAAACAAAAAAACCCCAACAGCAATAACAAAATACAACAAAGCAAAACCTCAAACAAAAACAAAGCAGCAACTATGAAACATTAGAACACATTTAAAATGAGTCAAAAGGGAGAACCAATGAGAAGGTGCTAATTTTAAGCTACCTGCACCTGTGTTGACCCGATTTCCAGTTCACTCTGACAGCAAAGCTATTCACAGCCCTGATCAATGGTCAGAGGGGATTCACCAAAGGCTCAGTCCACGGGGGGACTTAGCGACCCAAACTGAGTGCTACAGACAACTGGAATTTTAGACTCTGCCCTTTTGAGGTGCACAGAATTCTATTCTTTGATGCGGGGCAATTGTCAGCTCCTCCATTTTACATGGCGTGTGGGCAAAAGCAGTTACAAAAAATGTTCTTACGATTCTGATGTGTAACATACCATCTAAGCCAACAAGGTGCTTACCTGGCTACCTGTGCAAATACAATCAGCACAATTGTCAGGCCCTCTAACTGCATGCTCATCGACCTGGACTGACCACTGACTGGTTCCTTTCAAATATAAGGTCTCCATTGGTTTCAAAAAGTGATTTAACCCACGTAGTTCAATGTTATGCGCCACTTTTCAGAGCTCTAGTTATCATAACAAAGTAAGGTCACCTCATACTACTGTAGACGACATAGTGTAGACTAGGAATGGATTCAGGACAAGGTAAGAGTCTGGGCTGTTGCTTTGGTTCTTAATGTACAATCTTAGGCAGGTTACTTATGTGAACTTCCAGTTTCTTCAATTGCAAAATTGTTGTTGTTAAGTGCCAGCAAGTTGGTTCCAACCCACAGTGACCCTATGCCCAACAGAACAAAATACTGCGTGGTCTTAAGACCATCCTAGCAATTGTTGCTATGCCTGAGCCCACTGTTGCAGCCTTGGTGTCAATCCATCCTGTGTCAATTCCTTTTTCGCTCTGCCCCTCTACTTTACCACGCATGATGCCCTTCTCCAGGGACAGGTGTCTCCTGACAACATGTCCAAAGGATGTAAGAAGAAGTCATGCCCTGCCTTCCCCTGGCTGTACTCCTTCCAAGACAGGTCGGTTTGTTCTTTTGGCAGTCCATGGTATTTGTGGTATTCCTCTCCAGCACCATCATTCAAATGCATCGATTCTTCTTTGCTCTTCCTTATCCAAGGTGTAATGTTCACATGCACATGAGGCAATGGAAAATACCATGGCTTGGGGCAGATGCACCTCAGTCCTCAAAGTAACATCCCTGCCCTGCAATACTCTGAAGAGATCTTGGGCAGCAGATTTACCTAATGCAATGTGTGGTTTGATCTCTTGACTGTTGCTTCCATGAGCACTGACTGTGGCGCCAAACAAGACAAAATCCTTGACATCAACCTTTACTCCATTATTGGTCCAGTTGTGAGGATTTTGGTCTTCTTTACATTGAGTGGTCATCCATACTGAAGGCTGCAATCCTTGATCTTCATCAGGAGTGTTTCACGTCCTCCTTACTTCTGCAAGTACGGCGTGTCAGCTGCAAATCGCAGGTTGTTAAAAAGCCTCCTGACACCACATTCTTCTTTCTATAAGCCAGCTTACCTGACGATTTGCACAGCATACAGACTGAATACAACCCTGGTGCACACCTTTCCTGATTTCACACCATGCACTAATTCCCTTGTTCTGTTTGCACACTGACCCTTGATCCCCCCGATTGCAAAACGGACACTATAGAATTGCTTATCTCATAGCGTTTCCAAAAGATTTACATCAGATGCTGTATCAAAGCATGTAAAGCAGTAGGTCCAGTACCTGGTACTCATGCAGAGGATTCCATGAACAGAAATTGCTGCTGATATATGTATGTATACATATATATATATACATATATACACACACATATACACACATATACATGTATATATACACATATACATGTATATGTGTATATATGTATGTATATATATATATATATATATATATATATAAATTCTATCTTTAATTACAGTGTATCAGCAAATCAAGGTTCCTATTTAATACTTGTTACCCATACTGCTCATTTTCTTTGGGTACATTCTCTACAGTGGATCAACATTCTCCTTATTTTGGTTTGGCTGTTCCATTCCCATTAACCCAGTCTCACCACCCCTCAACCCTCTCATCTATGCTTCAGAGTATCTGCTGACCACTTGGGCTCTCATCGATGGCTTTTTAAAAGCGCGCAGTGCTCAAAAGTGATACTCATTTCTTTAGGAGTTAACCTGTTCTTTAGCTAGAAAGTGATAGTTTCACCTGAAGGCTTAAAGGATAATACCTCAGTGCAATAGCCACAGGGAGTCTTCCTCAGCGGGTCCAGTAAGTCTGGGTTTTTTGAAAATTTCAATTCTGCTCCACATTTTTCTCCCTATCCATCAGGATCTATCCACTGTGGTCCTGAATAGAATGTTTGAGAGTAGTAACCAGGTATTATCAAGTTCTTCTGGTCTCAGGGTAGAAAAGTTGACACAACTGGTCCTGTCAACTGGATCTTTATCTGAATCTTAGGCTTCCTTCCCTTTTGTTCCAGATGAATAGGGACCAATCGTCATTATCTTATAAGACCACTTGTAAGCTTTCAAGATCCCATAAACTATTCACCAGACTGGGACATAGAATTTGATCTATATGGACTGTTTTCTGCCAAATGACAAAGCTGCCCCACAAGACTATGACCCTGAGTCTTCAAAGCAAGAATATTAATCTTGTGAGATGAAGAAGTATGTTGAAGAAGTATCACTTTCTCGTCAGTCTCTATAACTCCGAGACCTGAAGAACTAGAAGCGGCTCACACACTGCCACCCCAATCAGAAGTTCCTGGTAGGGTGGGAGAAAACTGTGGGATAAACTTAAAATCATGAAAGAGACAGGTTTATTGGGGGAACCCCCCAAGACTATGTTCCTTAGGCACCCTCTGGGCTGGACTGGAACTCATCCCTGTGTTAGAGTAATCAGCCATTTACCATCAAGGGGCAGCATTTACCCAAGGACAGAGTTCAGAAGGACACGGGAGGAGGAGCAATGGAAACAGGCAGCCCCAGGAGGAAGTTGGATTAGTGATGGTACACTAGGGGACTGCAAAGGATAAGTCGAAAGAAAATATCGATGAATTGTTGAATGTAAAACAGATAGTCTGTTCTGTAAATCTTCACCTAATTCACAATGAAAGTGTTCTTTTAAGGCAAACAAGCTTCTTTGACTGTTTTACTGTGCACACCCACATATGTGTACCAAACCAAACTCGCTGCCATCGAGCCAATGCGGCCCCCTGTGGGTTTCCGAGACGGTAACTGTTTCCGGAGTGGAAAGTCCAGTCTTTCTCCCTCGGACTGCTGGTGGTTTCTAACTACTGACCACGTGGATTGCAGCCCAACCTGTAACCATTACACAACCGGGGCTCCCTATACATGCATATGCATATATGCACACAGATGTATTTTGGTTGTTATTAAACAGGAACCCTGGTGCTGCCATGAGGAAGCACTTGGCTGCTAGCCAAAAGATCCCACCAGCCACTCAACAGGAGAACGCTGGAGCAGTATGTTCCATAAAGATGATTTATAGTCTTGGAAACTCGATGAGCAGTTCGCTACAGAGGCTCGACTCAACAGAAATGGGTTTGGTTCGGTTGCTGTACACAATTATAGATAACATAGTATTGACTACACCATAGTAAAACAGATATAGAAACTTATTTTTTAGAGTTTTTTTTATTGTGAGCTAAGGTGAAGATTTATAGAACAGTATTCAGGATACTCATGTGTACAGCCCAGTGGCCTTCATTTCCCAGCCTTGTGCTGTGCTCCCTTGTCCCACATTGTACCTTCCCCATCATCATGCAGAAGAAAAGGGAATCACTACCAAGAGACCTGCTGGTGCAGTCGGCGAAGTGCTGGACCGCTAAAAGGCGGGCAGTTTAAAACTACCAGCCACAGAAAAAGATAAGACAGCCTGATTTCATAAAGATCTACAGCCTTGGAAACCCATAGGGGCAGTTCGACTCTGCCCCCTCGGGTTTAGTTGGAATTGACCCCACAGCTGTGAGTAGGTACTGTCCAGAGAATGACTGTCTCCTGTCCCCCACCATCACTGGTAACCACCAATGAACAGTGGTGTCCGAAGAAACAACTAGTGTGCACGTCATTCTATAAACGTGAGGCCATAATAACATGTCCTTTGATGATGGATTCCTCTCACGCAGCACAAGGTTTTCTACAAGGCGCTGCTTTTCAGCTCCACCACAAATGGCAGCGCAAACAATTTAAGACATGTTTTTTTAAAGATAAACTCATAAGACGGGCTGAGACCACAGGAAATGTTCTATCACATAACATCTGAAGTCTGTGGAAATACTCAATGCACCCACAGTCCTTCTATGAGCAACTATTTTAAAGATAAACAATATCTAATAGCATTGGGCAACATTATTTTCTCAAGTGACGGAGTTTTGTCCAAGGCAAGAAAACTGTGTGTTATACTAATCCCGGAAAACTACATTCAGAGCGAAATGTTTTCCATGAATTTGTTAACTCGTCAGCAACCTACACGGTGTGACCGGCTATGGCCTCTTGTCCGTCTGTGTTTGGTGACAGTGACCTCTTCCCGGCCAGTGCAGGCCCCAGCTGCACTGGGTCCTGGGAACCCAAGCCCAAGCCCTCACCAAGTGAGAGATTAAAACTTTCCCAAGCAACAAGGTGATGGAACAAGTCAGAGCCCGAGCCCAAGCGGCTCCCATGCAGTAAGAACCGGCCGTGCCTCTTGCTCCTTTCTGTCTCCAGCCGCACCACGAACTGGGACCTGACACCTCCCAGCTCCTCCTGCCCCGCCCACCGCCCCACAGACACACCACCATGAAACACTCTCACTGTCACGCAGCTTCACTTCATTTATCCCCTTTCCAGGGGGACACATGAAAAATTACAGAGATGTAAAGTACCAAGTTTCTGAAAAGTAATGTCACAGGAAATGGTGATTTTACATGGAAAAGTAAGAGCTCAATGTGTATGCGTATGAAACATCCCAAATTGGAAAGATGGAAATGAATAATACCATGCCATGTTAGCAATGGTTATTTTTTATGTGACTGCAGGTGTCCTTACTTTCTTTGAGCCTTTCACATTTCCTCCTAGTTTCCTATCTAAGTGAGTAGGACAAATAGATAAAGGGCAGCATTCTGTATTTCTTTAAGAAGAAAAACATCACTGGATGAATCAAACCAGTATTCCCTGCATCTGGCTAAGTATGAAAAAAGAATCACTCTGTTGAGAAGAGAGAATGAGATACGCTAGGGCTTTCCAAAAAGAACTGCTGAGCCTTTGGGTTTGGTCCATGTGGCAATGAGTTGGGGTCAAACGTTGACAAGACTGAGATCTCTCAGATTTTTTTAAGCTTTTTGTTTTCCTTGGCCAAGGCGGGTTCCCAGAGACACTGTTGAGAAATGTCACAATTTTTCCACATGTGGGAGTCGTTGTCAGAAACATGCCACCCCGGGTTTTTGAGGTCTTCTGTGAGGTCTCCTCCATGAAGGTCAGCAACAGTGAGACTCCCCCTGCTCCCGCCCTTGGCCTTGCCCTGAGGGAAACTCCAACGTATCAAGGAGGATTCAGTTCTAAGGTGGACTTGCATACCCAGCTGAAGAAAAACCTCCAGAGGTCAATTAGCTCCCACCAACGTGAGGAGTGGAAAGTCATGCATTTCAAATTTATTTTTTGCCAAGTGAATTCATGGCCCAAGTGTCATTTGACATGTTTTTGTTGGTGGTGTTTGGAGGTTTATAAAACATGTTACAAATTGGAATGCCAGTGATTTCATTTTAGCACAGGCCAAAACTCTGGTCTTTTTAAAACACTATGAAAGCTTTATAGTTTAAGGGCACAGCAAGAAAATGGTAGATGCCTTAGGGGACATAAAATTCTGATTCACAAAAGCTCACTCATTCGCCCTGTGGAGCCTGCTGTGGACTCCCAGCCCCCCCACCCCCAACGGGCTCCCTTACCTTAAGGTGTCACTCGTAATTGGTATGGTGATTAAGTCCAGTAAAGATGTTCCTCCACCCAGTTCCCAAAAGTGAGCAATATGTTTTGGCTTAGAAAGAAAAAAAAAGAAGAAGAAAGGTTTTAATATTAAAAAAAATACATTGTTCATTTTAAATGCTTTCTCATATTTTATTATTTCCCGAGTAGTCAGTCAGTTTGTGGCAGTATGGTGGCTTGCATGTTGCTTTAATAGTGGGAGCTAGGTCCGTGGTGTTTCGGATAGCAGTGGGCTCACCCCCGGTTTCAGGCTTCGCGGAACTTCCAGACTATACTACATTTTAAATTATGTTCTGCGGGGAACACAGTTGGGCATTTTCATCTTTGGAACCCCATTTTCCTCCAAAATACAGGATGCAGTGTAACAAAACTAGATGAGAAATATGACAGTCTCACGGAAAGTATGTGAGAGAATGTCAATAGAGGTCATCTGTCGCACCCTTTGGCTTTGTAGACTCTCTCCAGGCGGTCACACTGGGATTCTATTCCTCACCGATGCCTTCTGGTGGCGTCCAGGCCCTCACGGCAGCAGCGTCTTCCTGGAAGGTCTTCCCTGCCACCTCACCTCCGAATCCCTCAGACCATACCTCATGTGGGTTCACTCCTCAGCCTTGACCTGTCCCACTTTCCATCCCTTCCTGTCCCCAAGGGGGAGTGCTGTCATACACGAATTGTGGAGCACTTGGTGTCTACCTTTGCTGGAGGAAATGCGGTCAGGGAAGGATGTAGAAGTCAGAAGGCCCTAACTTTCAAAGCCAGGGCCAGTGTTTCTCGGCCCTGTGACTGCTTCTCTGAGCCCCATAGCCCTCTCCTGTAAAATGGGGGTAACAGGAGCTATCTTAATGGACGCTGTGAGTTTGAAAGGAACGAAACATATAAATCCCTTGATTGATAAGAGCACGGATTAGACAATGTCTGATGTGTCCTTTCCCTTCCTCCTTCAGTTATCATTGGTCTGTCATCTGTCGTATTGGGTGGCTGTGTGGGTGCTTTGATGCTGGAAGCTATGCCAGCAGGATCACCCGGGTGGGCAGATTTCAGTGGAGTTTCCAGGGGAAGAAGGGGGGTTAGCATGTAGAGACCACCGAGTTTATGTCAATGGTGCTGGAAATTTCCAGAAAAGGTCTATGGCAATGGCTGCCCAGTCTGAGGAATGTAATCAAGGTCAAACGTGATGTGGAAAATGCTTTGTGATGCATATTTCACCACGATTGTTAATTACGTGAAAATTATTTACAAAAGGAAAGCATCTGCTAAGTGCAAAAAGCTTGCACAAATCCAATGTGGGCCCGCCTCGGTAAAAGAACACATGTAGACATCAGCATGTGTGCCTGTAGTAAGAGAGGGGATGGGGTGTGGAACAGACAGAAGTATGGACGAGAATATGTGGACGAGTACCATATTAACATATCAAGTCTGCAGTAATTTCTTCCTTGTTTGCTTGCTGATGCTTACTAAATACTCAATAATGAACTCCTTAAAAAATAGGTTAAAAATTATATATTGTCACTCTCGTCCATTGCTGATGGGATTGAAAAATGGTCTAAACGCTGTTGAAAATAGTCTGGTAGTTCCTCAAAAAGTGAAAGGTAAAATTACCACATAATTTAGCAATCCCACCCGTAGGTGTACACCCCAAAACCTCAAGGCAGAGACATCGATCCCTGCACACCAGGGTCAACTACAGTGTCACTCAAAGCAGGCGAAGGATGGAAAGCCCAAGTATTCATCAACAGAGAAGGGATAAGTGATGGATACACGCACAAAGGGATATTATTCATCCAAAAATTGAATTGAAATCTTGACATAGATAAAACATGAAAATATAATACTGAATGAAAGTCACAAAAGTTCAACAGTTCTATGATTCCATTTGTATGAAAGATCTAGAATGGGCACATGCATAGTGACTCAAGTTTCTTGGTGGTTACCAGGGTGAGGGAGAGGGAGAAACATGGAGAGGGACTGCTTAATGGATACAGAGTTTCTCTTCAGGGTAATGATAGAATTGGAAACAGATAGTTGTGGTTGCCCAAAAGGGCGCATGCAATTAATACGACCACATTGTACATGTAAGAAGGGTTGAAATGACAACTGTCGTGTTACATACACTTTGAAAGCTGCATAGTGGGTACATGGGGCTGCCTTGTTCGTCCAAGTCTTGAGAGGTTTTTTTTGGCCTTTGACAGGGTGTAGTTTTGTCACTTTCCTACCACTTGTTTTAGTGGGAAATGTTTTGGCAATTCCTTCTCTCTTAACTAAGGTTTCCATCTTAGTTAAGTTCTGGCTTTCCTAGGTTTGACTAGATGTATTTTATCACCAATTTTTAACCCCCTCTCCCCAAAATAGAGACTATGCTGTCTATACCTGAACATAACTGCTCTGGTTCTAGCAATGCTTCACCGGGGGATAAACTGTGCCTAGTGTCAGATGCAGCATACACTCACTCAAGTTCTAATAAAACCAGTTAAGACACTTGGTATTATCTTTATGGAAATTTATCACTCTAGGCAGAGATAAAACAATTGAATAGAATCATCCTGATCTAGCAGAGGAACTTCCCAGAATTAATCTGACCAATGTAAGGCCTTGACAGCCTCTAGCCAGAGATCAGAGTCCTCTGAGCAAAAGTGTAAGCCAAAGATCTGTCCCTGCCACCATGGGGTGCCTGAGAAGTTCCTATCGACAAAAATAAGTGGTGGGCTGGGGAGCAAGAAGAGATTAAATGGCTGCCTTTTCTATAAAACCGGTTGTTGGGAAATCAACATTGGCTGGCCGCAGCCCTCCATGTGTCTGAGCAGGACTCTGTTTCGGAAGCAGAAACTCAGAGGAGATACGAGGTGCTCCTGGACTCAAACCTTCAGGCTTCTGGTTAACAGCTGAGCACTCTGTCTCCACCACCTAGTCTCCTCCCTTTCCAAGCTGTTGTCCTCTTGTGCCACCGAGTGGATTCTGACTCATAACCATCCTGTAGGACAGAGCAGACCTGCTGCTTCGGGTTCAGAGACTGTCAATCTTTACTGGAGCAGGCTGCCTCATCTTTCTCCTGTAGAGAAGCTGGTGTGTTTGAACCCCCAATCTTGTGGTTACCAGCCCTTTGATGATCCCTCTAAGCCACCAGGGATGCTTTCCTTTTTCAGAGACCTCTTAAATGGTAGAGGGCTGAAAGGGCTAGGCAATCAGGTAACTTGGAAATCAGAGCCCCGGTTTCCAGAGACCCTTTCTAGACTGCGGGCCAACACTGACCGGCTTCTAGCCCTGACGCTGAGCAGCCTTCAGGCCACTCAGTGGGGTGAGGAGCTGAGAGAGCACCTCTGTGTAAGGCTCCTTCCATCGAACTGTTAAGGAACGTTAAACACATGAAAAAATTCAACTGGTTGATTCGAAGTTTAGAGAAGAAATTATGTAAAAAAGAATCACCTGAGCTTTTATGAATCTATAACCATGAACTTGGGAAAGGCAGAAGGGCATTAAAATAGGTTTCAGAGGAATACATTGCAGCTTTGAAAAATTCTCATCTCTTAAAAAAAATCACTAAAACGTGTTTGCTGTTGATATCTGAACTATGAATGTTTATGGGGCTAGTAGTTTGCTAGGTCCCTCAACTCACAATTTGATGAAGGGAAATCTTTAGAGTTCTTCTGAAAGGTTAAGCTCCAGGAAACAGTCTCAAAGTTTCCGATGAAAAACATACTTCGACTTCGGGGCCAATTCCTCATGAGTCAGAAACATGAAGTTCTCCTGTATCTCAACATATTCTGTTTTCCCTTTCCTTTTTAATTGCAGAGTCTTAATGAACAACTTTCTCTGATGAATAGAGGAAGTAACCCGCAGGTTTCACTCTGTACATGGTCTAATGATTAATTAAGCATTTGGACTAGATCAATCTATGAAAACTCACCTTACAGGATAAATGTGTTCGGATTGTCCTGTTCTAGATTGTTCTTTCATATACTTAAGTTGATCTCACTTCTTCTCATGTGACAACTCAAAAAGAGATTTTGTTTAGGAATGTCTTTCCCCTAATATATACAAATGTATACTTTCCCCTAATAGATATTAATCTTTCCCCTAATAGGTACTAATGTATACTTTCCCCTAATATGTACTAGTGGTACAGTGGTTTGGACTTCAGACCACTAAACCCAAGGTCAGTGGTTTGAACCCACTCAGAAGAACTATGAGGCAGTCTGCTCTGTCCAGGCTTACAGCCTCCGAAATCCTAGAGAGTAGTTTCCCCCTGTCCTTCAGGGTTGGACTCAACTCACTCAATGGCAGCAGGCTTCATTCGGTTGGTTTTAATACACACCCGAGTTCTCTCTTTATCCTGAACAGTTTCTAGTCTTCCTGGGGAGACACTAAACAAGTGAAAACAGGATTATAACAACCAAGACCTTGAAACCGAAACACGATTTCAAGATGTATTTATAAAAAGGCTAACAATTTCGATTCCGAGCAGCACGCTTCCACAAATATTCAATAGCGCAAGACCATCTTTGCAGCAGATTTTTCAGGAGACAGGAGGTGACTCATACACTGATTTTAATTTGAGGGTGGGAAAAAGCCACATGGATAGAATCAACATAATGCAGAAATCAAATAAATCACGTTACAAAGGAATCTGGTGCCAGCATTCCAAGACACCCCAAATGAGAGAGCTGAAATATGTTCACAGCTTGGGTTGGCTTCCCATCTGCTGAAGTGTCTTGGAGGTTTAACAGTCTGAGGTGAACAACTGGAATATGCTTACTGATTGGCGATAAGGAGGAAACTGTAAACCAGTCAGCATCACTTCCCCGACTATGGGCACAGCAGTATCACTGAGGACAACACTCACTGTGTTATGCCCTTTGGCTCGTCTCCCATACGTGTACTCCAGAGCCAAGGTTGCTTTGGGCGGCTCATCCCTGTACAACAAAGAAAGATGGTGTTACCTTCTGGACTGGTGTCAGTTTCTTATGCCTTATCAGCTTAATTTCTGCTTCCTCTTAAACACTGCCATCCTTTAGTCAAGAAGTGAACTTGAGTAGCAGCAATTAAGAACATGGTACAATTTCCACATTGAGGGTCAACTCCAAAAATACATCCAGGAGCAATTTAAAGATGACACGGACCAATTAATCAGAGTGTATTTATGGAGAAGATAGTTTAAACAGTAGAGTTGCACAGTCCAATAGCATATACATACTGTGGTAAGCTAACATTGCTCCCCTGGACCGGGAAATCTTGTATATATTGTTTTTTCTCTTTTCTTTTTGAAATCTTGCATATTTGTGACTTATTGTTGGCTACATCTTTAAAGGAGTGTTAACAGAGGCCATGCTAAGGACTCACTGAGAATTAACTATTTTATTTGGATCTCAAAAGTATTTTCCTTCCATATGTTTCTTAGAATCTAGCTTACCCTGTATAACTACAATAAGCAAAAACATACTGAATGTCTCCCTGGTAGTCTAGTGGCTGGGATTTGGCGCTTTCACTACCATGGCCTGGGTTCAATTCCTGGTCAGGGAAAGAGAAATAAGCAAAAACATAGTCTTCAAGGTTAACGTAACACTTACCTGTCAAGACACCTTAGGATAATCGTAGTTTTCCCCTAGAAATTCAAAAAGAAAAAATATTGTGTTAATGTCATTCATATGTAAAATTTTTATTACTATTCATAATTGTGGCCTCAAACAGCTTTTTAATCACTTGAATGACAAATTACCGGGAAATGGGAAACTAGAACTTTCAGAATTGTTCTTCCGTCCGGTACGTGGGAAAAGTTAACTGTCAACTTTCCATCACAGTGTAACTACACTGCTATTATTATAATTATAAAGCCCCGCATATGACAAATACGAGCAAATCGCACCCCACTTTAGTGGTCAACTTGGCAGCTGTCTTACATTTCCTCTCTCCGCGTCTCTGCTAACTACTGGTTAAGCTGATGAGGAGTGTCTTCTAAGATGTTTTTATTGCAATTGTTGGGGTGGAAATAAAGAAAAATGATAACATACACATAAAGGACAAGCTGCAACTGTGTGCCGAGGAAGCAATGCAGATGCTTTCTGTTTGTTTGCTTGTTTGAATTCTAGAGGGTGTACGTACCCCATCTCTGCTACAAACTCCTTAAATCTCACAGCCCAGACAAGGGGCTGGCTCGCTGGTTTGAATCTCCCTCCTCTTCTTTTTAATAGTAATTTGTGACAGGAATGAACTCTTAAAGGGAAAAAGGAAAAAAAAGGAAAAAGGAAGCAGGCGAAACACTACAGGAGGAAACCTTTGGGCCTCAAGAAAACAATTTGGAAAATGGTTTCTTTTAGTAGAGCCTCGAAGGGGGTCTTGTAACATAGTGGTTACACATTGAATTGCTAGCTTGAAGGTCAACAGTTTGAAATCGCTCCACAGGAAAAAGATGAGGCTTTCTACTCCTGTCAAGAGTTCCAGTCTTGGGAACCTACAGCTTTGAGACCCCAACATTACACTAATAAATTCATTTGTCCAGGACTTTAAATCACTATGGAGGCTTGTAGCCTTCTCACACAGCAGACTCCGATATGCTATCACCATCAAGTTGTTTCTGATTTATCCAAATTAACAGTAACTTTTCAACCTCTTTGACGGTCTGGGTTCTCTTTATTCACATTCTGTTTGTTTCAAAGTTATTGATAGTCACGATACATGACGTGCCCTTACTGACCCACAGTGCTATGGGGAGGCGGGGGTGGTGGTGGGGGCAGCACCAGAGACACAGTGTGGGAATTGTGCCCGGTCTGAGTCCCCCACACCAGGACATGACACGAAGGAAGCGCAACAGAGCAGCAAGGGGTGCAAAGCAACAATGTCCCCGAGGAATTCTGAAAGTAAACTTCGGACTTGGGGGGTCAGGGCTTGGCACTGCATCAGACACGATCAGAAAACATTCACAGGGTCAGTAGACAGACCTGGAACTATTCATAGCTATTTTTCTTCTTCTTTTTTTAATGTCTACCTGTATAAGATAGGCAGGATATCAACAACCTGAGGAGAAAACAACGGAACTAATGGTTCCAGGGAGGACATGGGAGAGGAGGAAGTGAGGGAAAAGGAGGGGGAGACAACAAACCCAGGGACCAGGGAACAACAAGAGATCTAAAATTGATGGTGAGGTCGGGCATAGAAGGCCTGGTGGGGTTCAATCAAGTACAATGTAGCCGAGAAGAAGTAAAGAGAGCGGAATGCAGGTTGAACATGATAGTGGGACAGGAGGAAAGTAAAAGGAAATAGAGGAAAGAATTAGGAAGCAATAGACATTTATAGAGGTCTAAATACAGGCAGATACATATGTACATATATTGATATATTATGATAGGGATATAAGTCTATGTACATATATTTATAGGTTAAGTATTTTGGTAGCAGATGGTCATTGGGCCTCTACTCAAGTCCTCCCTCAACACAAGAACACTTTGTTCTAAGAACCTGGCATTCTGTGATGCTCACCTTTCCAACATGATCACTGATGGCAAAATGGGTGCATAAGCTAATGTGGTGAAGAAAGCTGATGGTGTCCAACTACGACAAGATATAGCGTTTGGGGTCTTAAAGGCTTGAAGTTAAACAAGCGGTCATCTAGCAGGGAAGCAACAAAGCCCACATGGAAGAAGCACATCAACCCATGTAATCACGAGGTGTCTATGGGATCAGGTATCAGGCATCAGAAGACCCAAAACCCATCTGTAGACAGTTGGAGAGCCCCTCACAGAAGGGTCACGAGGGAATGATAAGCCAGCCAGGGGGCAGTATAGCACCAA